ACAAGTAATGCCCTATCAATAAATTAATTAAAAAAACGTTCATGACATTATGTTACAGGCGTATCCCAAGTATGCGTATGAGTACTCCATTAAGGACCCCCACACTGGTGACTACAAGACCCAGCACGAGACCCGCGACGGTGACGTCGTTAAAGGGTTCTACTCGCTGCATGAGGCTGACGGTACAGTGCGCATCGTCGAGTATACAGCCGACAAACATAGCGGGTAAATGTTATTTACTATACAGAGATACACGCATGCTACAAAGGGCATTGTGACAACCTTAAATATTACTTATCATACTTTAATTACTGCGTCTAAAATATTTTGAATATTTTTTCATTCATTAATTTTAGCTAAATCACTTATTATCATATTTTCTATACAGATTCAATGCTGTGGTAAAGCGTGAGGGTCACTCTAAACACATCATCCCTGAACAAAAACACCATTAATTGAAAATATTTATGCTGTTGCTGCTGAAAATGTGATATTTTTTTGTCGTTTGTAAATAATTATGTAATAAATAAGTTTATTATTTTACCAATTTCTTTGCTTCATTTTTCTTATTATTTTAAATATAAATATTTGGTAATAAGTTTATTGATATCTACTGTAGCTCGATGGCCCAGTGACTAGCGCGCGCGATCTGCGATGCCGTTGTTAATCAACTTTTGTAATGGCTGATCATAGGATAGGTCCCAGCTGCATCTGTAGTCGTTAATACCCACCATATTATGGCCCATTCTCTCTATACGATGTTATTCGGTTCCATCAATAGGGAAAGTTTGAACTTCAGGTCATTAATAGGCTGGTGATAATAAAAATTTCACCATTAGAATTGTAAATTAGCTGATGATTATAGGATACTATGATATTCCCTACAATCATCACTCAATTATTGTTCCCAATTTCTGTTACTAGACACTATTAGGAAAGCTCGCACTTTGCGAAAAGCTACTTTCTCTGTAATATGTCACATATTTGTACAAATAAAGAATATTATTATTATTAACGTCTAATGTTAATGAACATTTTGTTTTAAAACAAAATACCTACATCATATTTTAGGATTATATTCATATTTTAGAAATATAAGTGTGGCAGAAAAATAAATACTGAAAGAAAACTCTGGAAGTTTTATTTACATTATTTAGATCAATTTTTCAGCATAAACATACCCCAATAGAAGAAAGTGTGAACTAGTTTCATCATAAATTAAAATAAATTAAATATTTACAACATCACATATACTGCTGACTTCAAGATTACTTCCTAAAGCTGCAAGAGTACCTGAGACAGCGAAGATACCACAACATAGCCACTTTCACTAAGCTTCCAATAACTTAACTCTCAGATTATTAAAGCTCACCGAATTTTCAGTGAGTGAAGAAAGAAATGTGAATCTATTAAATCACACTGTTTCCATGTTATTATAATCTAGGCCCAAGATTGTATGTAACTGTTTCAGCCTCCTACATTTGCCTGACCGCGAATAGAACCCGAGAGCTCAGAGACGGCGACAGCTTGAAATCAGCGTGCCAATAACTTAGCTAAGGAGATCGCTTAATTATGAAATTTAATTAATATCAATTAAAGAATTGATATTAATGTTTAAAACTGTTTTGTAATACCTCAACTAGCATTAAGTCTAAAATCTTTAATACGTTCCAATGATCAACTTTCAATCTTAGTTATCCTAACTTCACATAACCTAATCAAAATTTTGTAAAACTATAATTTTTAAAGCTGTTATTTACTTTGTAACTCATGTTGTTCTTTTTGTTTTAAGTAATATCTTCAACATTGAAATGTTGTTTAATGACTGTTTGTGCCAAAATAAAGAGAGAAAAAAAAAAGAATATAATAACATATTCCTTTACTATTATTAACAAATTTCAGTAGATAGAAAAAGAGTTTGTCAATTTTTATGCATTTATTATTATTAACAATACAACCTAAGATTTACAGTGACTAAAGTACTATGACGTTATGAGTATAAGAGGTTTTGGGTTACCTTTTGAAGATTATTATTGCTTTAAGAAAATGAATGAACTTCAATAAATTTATATCAGTAGAGTGTAGCTTATTTTGAAAATTCGAGAATTTTCGGGAATTTTAGAATTACGAAAATTCTTAAATATGTACATATCTTAAATTTGAGCGTGACGCTGGACAATGAATTCATTTTTTCATTTTAAAGGTAACTTTTAAGTTCGTTAAAAATGTAGTTGGTACGAAGCAATATTATTAATTTTAACCTGTTCAAGTGTCTTTTCGGAACTGCATGATGAAGCCGCAGCCTCTTGAAGTGTAAATCTATGGAAGCCAGGAATTGAGTTAGTTAATCTATGTTACCTAGTAAGCTAAAAAAAAAACTTTGAATAAAGTTACTAATACACACGAATAATATAGTATTATTAATTTAGTAGAGAAAATAATTCTTTTTTTGTTGATTTGTATTTCTTGTAACGTAATAAAAAAGAATTCATTGTATTTTTAACCGAAAAGTTTTTAATATTTAATACTTTGAATATAATACAACAATAATTTAGAACTTTTTGAATTATTCTTTTCAGTATAAGTTTATCTACCCACAAGTAAAACAGTGCATATCTGTAATCCACATAGTGATGCTTGTAGCTAATAAATGCTGCCTATATTGTCATGTGGGTAGCTCGGTGGCGTAGAGGATAAGCGCCGTGGCCCACGATCGTTGTTGTTAAGCAACTTTCGCAAGGGTGAGTCACGGGATGGGTGACCAAAAAAACATTATCTCCAGCTGCTTCGGAAGGCACGTTAAGCCGTTGGTCCCGGTTGAATGTGCAGTCGTTAATACCCTCCAATCCGCTGATGATGATAATATTGTCATGTGGATAAGTAGAAACAAGGAAACTGCCATAAGCAAAATGCAATTTAATTATAATACGTTTTGAGGAGCTCGAGTGCACAATGATGACTGCGTTCGGTCTTTCAAACGCCGGTTATCAGAAAGGTGACCAAATATTTGCTATCTTGAAATCCTAAATAAGTGTTTCAGAAGTTGAATTCTTATATAATTGCGTGAATTCTACCTATTTTTGCTTAATTGTTATAAGCGAGGAAACATGAAATAATCCAATAGTTTACTTGAGAACGGATATTTTCAATCTCAGTACCAAAAGGATTTACCAGATTCAATAGCATGGTACAGAAGTGAAAATGAGGATTAATAAATATTATTATTTATGAAATTTTTTTGAAAAAGCATATTCACGACTGGTCCCATAAAATGTGAATTGTATCAGTACTTTCATTTTAAACTTTAAAAAAGTAACAACTTAAATTACTATAATAAAACTTATCGATTTTCATCAATTGGTATGATAGATTGGGAAAAAAGTTTCTTCATATGTTTTATGAAAATACAAAAAAAAAATCAATAAAGTTTATTTACATTTAACTAAAGTATGTAGGTACCATTTTGTTTGATAACTTTTTACCTTCTGTAGGCAGAGACATGAAAAAAAAAACAAAAATGGCATCTATAGTTTTTGAAGGAATTCGGAGTTATCTTCCTTAAAATTCAAACTTTTCAATGATACCGAAACCTGCCAGATACAAATGGTTAGCCAGAAAGATTTTTACAAGTGTATGCCTACTATATGCGAAAAGACTTTTCCCCCAATCTAATAGTTTCTTTAAATTAAGATTCGATTTCTCGTGTTTTTGTATCCAGTCGTACATACTTTATATAAATGTTTAATAGTGCAACAAATAATATTAAAACAATACATACATATTAAAACAATATGTCATTTCCCAGATTAAAAAGCTTTAGCACTTGTATTAAAGAAATCTGATTTTGCGAAAGTACCATAACACCTAGATCAGAGAGGCAATATAGAAAATTTCAGTTTCTAAATTGGCTATATTGACCGGAATCTTAGCTCTCATTCATTTAAATTTTCGGTAAAAAAGTAACATAGGAAAACAAGTCTTATAATAATTGGCCGAATGTAAATTGTAACCGTATCAATACGAAGCCATATGAAATACTTTATTATGTGACTGAGCCAGGTCAGGTCAATGTATTGAATATTTGCAGTCAATATCATGTCCTTTGATTATTAGGTTCCAATAAAATATATAAAATATAATTTATAGACGTTTATATCTCAGCGCAAACTTGTTGTATGACCTATGCCATAACAGATAAGATTGTATTCCTATCGTTGCGAACATACGTTACAGAGTACCCACCAAAACCCATGCTCGCACTCCTTGTCGATTGTTTGCAAGTCCTCAATGTTGTACAAATGCTGGTAAACGTACCCCTGTATAGAGTGGTCGACTCATATAATGAGTGGTTCAATACAGTCGACATGGCGGTGACAAACACAAACATTTTCAAAAAATTGTTGTTGTTAAAGCTTAATTACTAGAAGTGCTTAATATGCATTATATACTTATGTTGTGTTTTCAGGGCAAGCGTATGAGGCTTATCAGTCTATAAGTAAATTTAAAAGGAATTTTAGAAGAATCAGTTTTAAAGGAATTGCTATAACTGTAAGTTTCAATTATTGTGTTCTCTCTTATTTTTTTTAAATCGCGAGGCCAATTGCTAGATTCAGGTACAGTACACTTATACTTACTTATTTACTTAAATAACGCTATGTCTAACAAAACGAATTCAACATGTAACTGAATCTTGCGATCTGCGCCAAGGACTGGTTCTTCTATTGTCCCTTCTCTTTTTATGAATTTGTATGACACCCATAACACCTTCATAATCACAGCCACTCTTAATTGTATTTAATAGATAAATATGTTCTGGTGTAAAAGTAAGTAAAATAGTATGCTACTACTAATTAACATATAAAAACTTTGTAACTGTTTGTTTACCCAAATAAAAAGAAAAAAAAATACTTATTATTAGTACAAAAGAAACAGTTTATTTATCAATAAATAATAACATAGAGAACGAAGTGAGACCATTACCTAAAACAAAACAATTTAATTCAATGATGTTTCTGCTCTTCGATATGTTTTGTAGTATGTTTAACTTCTGCGTTGAACCTGTAACAGTAGAAATATGAGACATGAGACATGTTTTATTTTATTATTACATAATATCATTTTGAAATTTGAAAGCCTTATTTCGATGTAATAACTTACTACTACAAAAGCTATATAAAAATATGTACACTAACCCAGTTTTCTTGTCAGCGTAATACTTGACGGTGCGCACGGAGCCGTCGTGCTCGTGCAGGCTGTACTCTCCCTTCACCACGTGCCCGTCGCGGGCCTCGTGCTGCTGCTTGTAGTCGCCGGTATGGGGGTCGTGCACCTTGTACTCGAACTCGTACTTGGCGGGACCCTGTATGAAATTATGTCTCTCTTAGAAATCTTTAAATGAAAAAGAAATATTTTTATGATTAATGAGAAAATATTAAATAACGTCACATACATTGCTCAGATAAACCCCGTGTTACGGAGTATATGAGAAAACAAAGGCACCACAACATCCAAACTCGAGACAATATACGATAGAAAAGACCTTCTACATTGACTGGTATTAAACTCTAGATTTCAAAATTGGCGACACTATAACCGGCATGTGAACGCCTACGGAGATCGCAAGATCACTGTTTACTCCAAACTATTTATTTCTATTTACGGCTTCAATAGAACAATATCAAACAAATAAATTTATAAAAAAAAGGATACAGCTCCACTACAAGACCAATCCTATTTTCAATAGTTTTTTTTATAAAAAATTTATATATTTTTTTAAGATTCATGAATCTGATTTTTCTTTTCTGTTTTAAACGTCTATTATTTGAATAAAACGGTTGTCATATATTAATTGGACTGATCTCTGCCAATTTTAACTTAATAAGTAGCTGTACTCACGTCATTGTATTTTTGCCAGTCAGCGGGAGGGTGAGCGGGCACGTCGTGTCTCTCGATATGTAAGGTGGATACGGCGGGCTTGTGGTGGTGTTCTTCATGAGCTTGGCTCTCCTGAACATAGTGAGCTACAGGCACGATCTTGCTCACCACGGGAATGACATGTTTCTCGACTTTCTCTACTTTAATAGGATGATGGTGCTCATGAGTGTCGTGACGTACAATACTCTGTGATGAGTAGGCATGTTCCACAGCAAGACAAGAGCCAATGATGGCAAGGGTAGCTACTACCTGAAAACAATACTCGAATATTTATTTTGTGGTTGGTTTGTTTATATTCAACTTATTTTTTGTCTTATAAATACTTTTTGTGTCCAGTCTGATGGCGGATGCCCTGATCCGCAGAATACCAATGTCATGGCATTATGGAAAGTGGTGGACAATTAAGCATAAACCATATAACTATTGACCTAATTTTGTGCATTTAGTTTATTAATTCAGTTAAAGAACTAGGCAGAAACATGAAAATATAGACATTACAAAAGACAGTACAATTCATGCTAAGAAGCCAACTTCTTCAAGACAATCTTTCGAAACTGATGCAGAAATATAGTCATGAAAATGCACTTGATATGTAGCTTACTACAAATATGAAGAGCGCATTTTAAAGAAGTGCGTCTTCTTAACTGATTGAAAACTAAAAACAAATATGAAGTTTTGAACAATTATAATAAGTGATTGTTTTTCAATTATAAAAATAATTTACCTTTAAAAACATTGTAATATTTTTACAATAAGCGACTTATCTCAAGGAAATTAAAGTTAATACTGATAATTTAACGTTTATTTCAGTCAGTTTTTATATTAACACAACCCCTTTCGTGTTACACGATCAATCTCCAACAGCAGGTTAGTCTTATTTTCGGTAAAAGGTCAGTTACTTTTACCTTACATTTGTAGACACAATATTTGAAATTCATGAGTTTCGTAATTATATTACTCCAAATATATTAATAAAAAATATTATTTTTCTTTATATTGATTACCAATAGTTGTTTTCCGATGCCTTTGTTCGCGTAAATAATAGCAGTTACCCGTGTATATGTAGCTTCCGATATGTGAAATAGTTTTTTATTCAAATCTAGATTATTAATGACAAATAAAAATACTTGACCATAAATTAACGTTCCTAATTTTAATAAATTGGTAAGATGTGTATTGGAATCCCAATGGACATGTCATATAACGGGCTTTACTGACCATGCAATTTTTCTTATGTTGAAAATTATGTGTATAAAATGTTATCCCACTAAAAACATTTTAAGTGAAATTTCAAAAAGATTTTGGATCTTTTTAATCAAGATACTGTCTCTACATGTCCTAATTGTACTTCATAGCATAGTTCATACAGTGAAAGTACAACTTTACTTAAGAAAACCTCGTTTAGTTTATAACTCTGCAAGCTTTACTGTGTGCCTTAAAATGTAGCTTGAAGTTGAAATGAAATAAGCCTAGACAAATGTCATTAAAATTGGTTCAGCAGTTTAGTCTTATCAAAATAACGAATAATAATAAGTCATTTAGAAATAATAACCGTTGTTATTGTTATTAAAATGCTATTATGAACTATATCTGACTACTATATATCGAAAAATAATTCTTTCTTAATAACTATAAAGCTGGTAAACAAATACATGAAACTTCAAAAATGTTTCTTGAATTTGTTACCTAACTGTCTTTATGTTTATTGAAAGATTTTCGATTTTAAACAGTTTTATTTAAAAAAAAGAAATTGCATGTTTCTATTTTTATATTCTCCATTCTTCCTTAATACATATCAATATTTCAATAGCTCGGACCTAATTATTATTTCACATGTACAACATATCCTTTAGATGAGCTAAAATGAAGAAAACTGTTATCGCTGTCATCAAATTTTAAGAAACACTTTCAAACCATTTCCCATTTAAAATATTTTTAATTAAATAAAAAAGGAGATGAACTCAAGACACACTATATGACAAACGCGCGACTGCAGCTGTTAAATGTGTAGTTGTCGTAGAATCTTATTCTTTCTATTCACTGAAAATAGGTCTTATTTTTGAGTGTCTGAAGTTTAAAACGTTTAATTATATTTCTGCATTTTGTGAAGAAAATTTACTGACTTTATTTCAGTATTTTCTGAAAATGTTTATTTAAATTATATAAATGGAACTTTCTGTGAAAATCGATAATTTTAGTTTAATTTAGCAACGATAAAGAAAGGTGGGTGGTCAATTGTATAATCGGGACAACTTACCGCAGTCAAAGTCACTTTCGGTTTTGTTGAAGTAAAATTTTATTACCCACATATTTTATAAAAACTGGTTTAAGCCTTTTCGGTTTTTGCATTATTGCAAAAACTTGCTATTAAAAGTACTATTACAGGGTTTTTTTGGTATATGTATAAAAGACTATGTGAATTTGGATCATTATCAGTTTTAATTTCTCATACACAAGACGTAATTAACTAAGCAAAAATGTTTGCAAAAGTGAGTGAAAGAATATTATAGACTTTTTTTTAATAACCGTAGAATACAAAAGAAATTCATCTTTCAATCTTATCATAATTAAAAAATATTTTTCAGAATACTTATTCCAATTTTGGTTGCAATAATCATATGACACAAAATTTATTAATAATTTGGTTTATGATAATTATTAGACTTTAAACTACTGTCAGTATGAGCAAATACGTATAGCTGTTATACTATTTATTTTTGTACAGATGTTTATTGCAAAGGAATTTGTATAAAAAGAACTTAATTACTTTTTATGATTGGATCATTTTGGCTGGTGCACTATTTGCTGCTGCCACAGCGCGGCCACAACAGAGCCACGGTCATGAGCACGCGTTCTCGTCTCAGAGTATAGTGCTGCATCAGAGCGGACACCAACAGCAAATCCAGCAGAACCATCACGTGTACCAACAGCACGAACAACAACAACAAAACAAAGACGAACACTACGAAGACTACTATGTAAGTCATTATTTTGTAATATCAGTCAACCCGGAATTCTTATCCTGTTTTTCTTATGTTTACCTAAATATTTTTTCTTTATTTATTTCATTTTCGTTTCACCTTGTGATGCTAAAGAAAATGAGATAAAATTAAATCAATAAATGAATGAAAGAATCACGTAAACTATGAACGCACATTTAAAGTCTCGCTTTGAGGATTGAGGATGTCAACTAGCTGACGATGTTACATGTGATAGTGACCGCAATGTGAAAGTTATGTTTGTTCTTTTTTTCATATTACAGGCGTATCCCAAATATGCGTATGAGTACTCTATAAAGGATCCCCACACTGGTGACTACAAGACCCAGCACGAGACCCGCGACGGTGACGTCGTTAAAGGGTTCTACTCGCTGCATGAGGCTGACGGTACAGTGCGCATCGTTGAGTACACAGCCGACAAACACAACGGGTAAATAATTACTGTTTTAAAGTATTTGTTTTTAGTGATAGTTGAAGCTTCCCATAGATGAATAGGCAATATCTGGGGTGGGGGTGGGGGTATACGTAGTGCAATCGGAAGTATTAGTTGGATTGATGTGGAAACATCAAAATATTATCTGTAGATTAAACTTAAAATATACTTCCTTTTTTACAGATTTAACGCTGTGGTGAAGCGTGAGGGTCACGCTAAACACATCATCCCCGAACAAAAACACAACTAATTTAAAATACCCACGCTGTTAACAAAATGTGATATTAATTAATTAATTATGTTTGTAAATATACCTTTAATAAATTAGTTCGTTAATTTCTCAGTTTTTTATTATTACTTACCACTCTCTTTCTAGAGCTAGGGCGAATTTTGCTTTAAGTTAGAAGTTTTGGAAAGGGAAAATTTAATAAAAAAATCATATAAACAGCATTATTGTATGACAAGTCATGCAAAATATCTATTGTATGTATTTTATTTGTTTCTTCTTCTTTCTAAAACTAATTTGAACGGTGTAAGCGTGTGTATTTTTTTAACTTTATTTCATTTTTCAGAAGCTTTGGATCCTTTACAGGTTTCATGGCCACTTATGCTAAGATATTGGTCGTTTTTAAGATTCTGTACCTAAAGGGTAAAACGGGCACCCTGTCACTAAGACATCGCTGTCTGTCTGTCCAGGCTATCTCATGAATCGTGAAAGTTACTTAAAAATATCACACAGAATGTATTTTTGTTGCCGCTTCAACAACAAATACTAAAAACCAGAAAAAAATAAATATTTTAAGAATGCCATACAACCAACGTGATTTTTTACTCGTTTCAGAGCAGAGCTACCACCAACAACACTTATTTGACATATTTACAATCCCACACAATACTAAAATTTTATCATACGAGATGGTTTGTTATAATAAAATTAATATTGAAAACGTTGTAATTATTGAATTGTTCGTTGACTACCATAAACTTAAGAGTCCGGAGTTGTAAACATGGGAATTCTGTCTGAGCAGAACAAACAAAGCAATAACTCCCATTTAATTGCAAAGACAGAACTAACGAACTATAACTTTAGGTTTTGCAGTGTGAGTTTGTATTGAGATTTTATACGGTAAATTATTGGATCTCAAGCTACTGTTATATTTCTTCATTTATCTCAATGATATTTTTAAATTTCAATAGCATGATAAGCGATGATAACTTGTTGATCTATTGCAAACATTTATGGATTGTCAAAGTTTATGCAACAGTTGGGTCCTCCTAACGTACAAGAAACGTTTAAAAAACGAAATAATACTCACGATAAAATCGTTTACAAGTTGTTTTACATAACATATTTATATTTAAACATTCTTTAATTGATGTAACATAAAATATGAAGGTCATCATCAACCCTCTACCAGGTGTAACGGTGTGCCATGCCACCGTTTGTTTTCCTAGGTTTCAGTATGCAAACTTTTTGCTTTTGAAATTCAACATCATTTCATTTTACTATTCGTCTTTCGTAATTTAAAATTTTGACTAATCAATTTTACTCTTTATGGATGTCAGTTCGTAAGAAATTCTCCTATACACAAGATGAAATTATAATATAATACAATATTATTGGTATAAATTTTACTATGTAATTTTAATAATTCATATATTATGGTGATACAATAATATAACATATTTACTAAATTAAAACTGTATTTTGTACGATCCAAAAGTGTAACAAGAAGCCCGACAAGGGTTTTTTATTATTACCCTTATTTCATTAATAAATTATACTCAAGCTGATCAGCCTATTTAATTCGTTAAAATCGTTTACAAGTTGTTTTACATAACATATTTATATTTAAACATTCTTTAATTGATGTAACATAAAATATGAAGGTCATCATCAACCCTCTACCAGGTGTAACGGTGTGCCATGCCACCGTTTGTTTTC